TCTATTCTATTCTATTCTATTCTATTCTATTCTATTCTATTCTTATTCTTATTCTTATTCTTATTCTTATTCTTATTCTTATTCTTATTCTTATTCTTATTCTATTCTATTCTGTTCTATTCTATTCTATTGGGAGCAGCTCTGGGCTTTGGGGGATACAAGGCACCTGAATCTGCAACAGAGTAAAACTGACCTCGAAGAAGTCGCCAAAGAGTAATGAAAGGGCAAGGAAGGTCCTGCCTCTCCTTTTCTCTTGGTTTGAGGAAGACCTCTAAGCCTTTCCCATCCCAAACTGAGGGGCCTGCTGGGTCTGTCCTGGTGAGATACTTGCAGTCCTAAGAGCTGCTTTTCAGGATTCTGCCATCCGGGGTGCGGGTTCCCTTTATGACCCGTTTCCTTGTTGGTGTTCAGACCTAGGCTTTCCCCCAAAGCACTAAGCAGACTCTTTGTCCTGGCAAAACCCCTTTTATTAAACAAAGGTGAATTTCTTTCACATTCACATTCTGCCAAAGTCCTGGCAAACAGTCTTTCAAGGGTGTAATTAGGAGCACAGACCTTACCTAGCTTGGAGAGCTGCCAAGTAAATATGTCCAAACACAGTGCTGACAAGGAAGGGCTTAGCACAGAGTCTCTGAGATGCACAGACAGATCTTCACATTGCTGCAGCAAACGAATTGTTTCCTGCACAAGCCCCCTTCCCTTTTGCTCCTCTTTTAATCCCTATGGGAGGGGCCATTCACCATCCACCTCTGGCTTTACTCCCACGTCGACCCTTAGTTCATAATTGTTCTTTTTTAGGGGGCAGCTCTGTGCATGCACAGGCTGGGAACCGGCTCCAGCTGCTCCCCCATCTCATTGCTGTCTGAGCCCGAAGGCAGCTGATGACTGCCAGCCTGCCCTGGCCCCATCTCTGCCTCTGATGCAGAGCCTTCCTCAGCCTCCAGGACTGGCCCAGGTTCCTCCCCAACCTCCTCCCAGTCCGACTCTGCTGCCAGTTCCACTAGCCACTGGTGGGCCACAACAGTTGGAGGAAAGTAAGCCCCACATAGCCAAGGATGGCGGGTCTGCCTTTCTCTTCCTTTGAACATGCCTGAAGAAGTTTGTGGGATGCTTGCTTTCATGACTGTGTTCTTCTCCTAACTCCTGCATCTTGGCTCCGGGGCAGGACTAGAATGGGCCGTGCCAGAAGGAGGCCTTGCCCTCCCTGGTGCTAGGACAGCCTGCCAAAGGCCTCCTGAAGCACCCAGGCTGCCCACAGTCTTCAGGGGCAGCAGAATCTTTGCCCTGGAAAAGAGCCGTAGCTCCTCCATTCGCTCCCTCAGTTTGTTGCCCAGAAAAAAGGAGGGAAATATGCTCACATGCCCCCTTGCAGGCCTGCTGGTAGGTCAGGGGCTGCCCGGGAGGTTGACCTGGGAGGTCCAGGGCATGAAGTGAGCCAGGCTGCTTCCAGGGCACCCAGGGGCAGGGGATGATGGGCAGCAGGGAGTAGGGAGCCCCTGATTTCTCACCAAAAGTGGAATGGGCTGAGCTGGAGCCACCCATATTGCGGGAGAGCAAGGGCTTCGTTTGGCTTCTGCCAGGGGTAGGATTCTACCGGTTCAGACCAGTTTGGGTGAACCGGAGGTTAAATTTTACATCTTGTTTTGCCAAACCGGTAGTTGAACCGAACCGCTGCCCCCCTCCCAGGAGTCTCCATGGCCCGTTTTGGATGCAGGTAAGCGCAGGGTCCTCATGGAGGCTCTGGAAGGGTAAAAAATGGGCCGAAATGGAAGTCTGGAAATGAGCCTGTTTCTGGCTTCTGGAGCCCAGGGGAGGCCATTTTAACTTTCCCAGAGGCCTGAGGGAAGCCTCCGGACTCTGGGGAAGGCGAAAAATGGCTGAACCGGAAGCTCCGATAGGCCACACCCACCATGGCCACGCCCACCCAGCCACTGGGCAGCAAACCAATTGCTGGGATTTTTGAATCTCACCCCTGGGCTTCTGCTCACTGGATTGCTTGCGGTCAGCCTACGGCCCAAACGGGTGCAGTTTCGGTTCAGCCGGGAGAATTCACGGCACAAACCCCAGCCGGGAGGGGGAAAGGGACCTCTTTCCAGGGAGGACTTCTGAGCATACCGTTCCCTAGTGAATGTCCGGCCGGGCCTTTCACGTGCTCACTCAAATGCCCACCTGCAACCCCAGGACAATTGGCATTGGAAGGGGTTCAAGTAGCTGCCTGGTCACACACACACCCCCCGACTTGGTGCCTGCCACAGCAGTCGGCCAAAGGGCGGGAGGGCTGCCGAGGTCGTGGACACGAGGACCCTCAGGCTGTCGCTGGGGTGGAAGGACCCCCCGCACCTTGTGCCTTTGCACGATATCGGGGATGCAAAGAGTAGAATTGTGGGTGTCACCGTCATTTTTGCCCTGCCCTCAGTGACGGTTTGCATGGGAGGCCGCCGAAGGGAAAGACGGGTGGGTGGCAGGAAATGGACCCGGTCCATCTTTAGCCAACCGTGTGGCTTGCTGGACGCTTCTGTCTTTCACCTGATCCTGAATCAGATCCCTTCAGGATCCTCCTCTGAGCTCTCAACTGGACCGAATGGGCGCTTGGTCCTTCTTCCAACCCCAGTTTGAAGGGAAGGGACCCTGGGCTACCTGCCAGAGCCACAGGAGAGCCACGCGTGGGAAGGGGCTGCTGTTCACTCCCCTCTGGACCGTGCCCCCCCCCCCGGAAGATTTAGGGATCCTGCCTGGGTATCCTCAGCCGGCCTCCCGCTTCTCCAAGCAAGGAGAGCCAGGGCCCCCTAGTGGCAGATCGTGGGAAGGGAGTGCTCAAACTCCCAGTTCAAGCTGCAGTGTGTGCGTGTGTGTGTGTGTGTCTGGGATGGGGGCCACATCCCCAGAGGAGGGGAAAGCTGGGGAGCCCCTTTGCTCTTGGCAGCTGTTTAGGGGCCCTTCCCTGCCTTCCGAGTCCTTCCGCTTAGCCTGACAGGCAGAACCTGGGGTGGGGAAGGTCTGCAAACCCAGAACCCGCCCCCCTGCCCCACCCCTCCCTGCTCAGCTGCAGGTGCTTTGGAAGGGCTGGGGTGGGGAGGGCACAGAGGCAGCGGCTCCCAGCCTCTTGTTGACCCCTGGTTGAAAATAATCCCCCCTCTTCACGGTTTGACTGCTGAATGCAGAGGCTCCGTTTCCAGCCAAGAGCTGCTCACTTCAAGTGACTGGTTGATTGCAGTAATTGAGCAGCTATTAATCTGCATTCTTCTTTCCGGGTGTTATTTATTTTAAATGGTTCAGAGATTATTCTATTTTTAGAGGTAGTTTTGGTTCCTGGTCTCAGAGCCAGCCTTCACTCAGCCTCTGGGGGCCTAAAAGAAACGGGGGGGGGGGGGGGGGTTTCCGGGGCCCGGATGGCCCCCCCCCCCCCATTTCAAGAGTCTTTTCTCACAATAAAACACAGGCTGCTAAAGCCACTTGGATCTTCCTCAGACCTCAAAGTGCTGGTCCAAAAACAACCTCGCCACCCTCACTGGGGGCTCCATGGCAAGGTGTGTGTGTGTGTGTGTGTGTGTGTGTGTATGTGTGTGTGTGTGTGTGTGTGTGTGTGAGAGAGAGAGAGAGAGAGAGAGAGAGAGAGAGAGAGAGAGAGGCAGGCAGGCTGCAGAGGTCCGTCAGGAGTTACTGCAGGTGTGAAGCCTCGGTGGTGGGATTCGAAATATTTTACTACCCGTTCTGTGGGCGTGGTGTAGTGGGCGTGGCTTGGTGGGCATGGTTTTGCTTGTAGGGCGTGGCATAGCTTGGTGGGCATGGCTTGGTAGGCATGGCAGGGGAAGATTACTGCAAAATCCCGCTTCCCACCCCACTAACCTGCTTTCCAGCTCTGTTCTCTTGTGCAGGGCAACAAAGGAAGACCCAGCCAATCCGCTGGGATGCGAGAGGCCGAGAAGAGATGGGGTTGGCCTGGCCGGTCAGAGGTGGGATTGGCCGGTTCTCCGAACTACTCAAAATTCCCGCTACTGGCTCTCTAGAACTGGTCAGAACCACCGGAATACCACCTCTGCTCACAACGCCAACCCACAGGTAACCCCCTTCCTGAGCATCCCTGGAGGATCCTTTCCAGAGAGACCCCCCAAGGGGTTCCCTGCCCTGCCAGAACCCAAGAGAGAGGCCAGAAGGGGGGGAGGGGAAACCACTGGGCTCTGGCCCTCTGGCCACCAACCCTCCAAAGGGAAGGAACGGATCGTCCAGGTGTGGGAGGTAGAAAGGAGATGAAGCCCTGGGCCCATCTGAACCAGAAGAGATGGGATGGGGCGTTCCTTCAGCCCCCCTGGCTCTTTGCGGGGCAGGCTAGGGGGTCTAGTGGGCAGGAGGAAGCCTGTGAGCCCCCACCCCAAGAGAGCCAGAGGCCCAGGATTGCCCTTCCATGATTCCTCCTGCTCGGCCCAGAGAACCTACATGCCACCCACTCCTTTCTCAGGGTAGGTGCCTTATGGAGGGGGTGTTATTGCTGGCCCAGCTTCCAGGGGGCTCCAAGACCCCTCTCCCATTTGTGAGGCCACCATCCCTGGATACGTCCAAGTGAGGAAGGGGGTTCCCATTGGCAGCACCCGAGAAAGAGGCCTGATAAGGACTCTGAACAGCCCCCACCCACCCTAGGAGAATCCTTCAAGGGGGCTCGGTCCTGGTGTGTGGGGGTGCAGCCCAGGGGACAAGGTCTCCAAGAAGCCAGACTTAGCCATTCCAGCGTCTCCTCTTCCCCCCGCCCTGCTCAGCGAAGGACCCTTTCTGGCTGATCTGGCCAGGGGCTTTCTGCCCACCCCCTTATCTGGGGATCTCTGCTCCATGGAAAATGGTGCCGGGCTCTGATGGGAGGCAGATAAGGCAGGCAGGGCTCATTTCCTCGGCTCGGCCCCAGGAGCCTGCCCTATCTGCCCCATCTCTGCCACGCAGCCAGGGCCATTTTGGCCTAATGTTCCCTGCTGCCTTTTCCTGCGCCCGCCAGGCACAGGGCAGCGGTCGTTCCACTTGGGAGCCCACAATTAGCTAGAAGGAGGGTGGGGGAGAGGGAGACTGAGAGATCCTTGTTGGGCCAGTTCCACCCCCCCCCCACACCCCCATTCCCTGCCCCAGACACACACAAGGCAGAGTCCTCTTTAAGCTGCCCCTCCCTTGGACTGCAGGGGTCTCTCCACCCTCCCCTAAGCCCCCTGACAGGCTGCTGCTGCCCCCTCCTGGCCTTGCTGATGATCCAAACTCTGTCAAGGACCTTGGAGAACTCATCTCTAATAACCTAAGTGCTAGAGCCCACTGTAACTACATAGCCAAAAAGGCATTAAGAGTTGTTAACCTCATCCTACGTAGCTTTTTCTCTGGTAATATCACACTACTAACTGGAGCATAGAAAACATTTGCTAGACCAATACTCGAATACAGCTCATCAGTCTGGAACCCACATTATGTATCTGATATTAACACAGTTGAGAAAGTCCAGAAATATTTCACAAGAAGAGTTCTCCGCTCCTCTACTCGTTGCAGAATACCTTATGCCACCAGACTCGAAATTCTAGACCTAGAAAACCTAGAACTACACCTCCTTCGGTCTGATCTAAGTATAGTATATAAAATCATACATTGCAATGTCCTACCTGTCAATGAGTACTTCAGCTTCAACCATAACAACACAAGAGCACACAATAGATACAAACTCAAGGTTAATCGCACCAAACTTGATTGCAGGAAATACGACTTCAGGAACAGAGTGGTCAATGTCTGGAATACTCTACCTGACTCTGTGGTTTCTTCCCCAAACCCCAAAAACTTTAACCTTAGACTGTCTACTATTGACCTCACCCCTTTCCTAAGAGGTCTGTAGGGAGCGTGCATAAGCGCACCAACGTGCCTACCGTCCCTGTCCTATTGTTTCTTTTTATTTTTTCTTATGTGTACCCATTTCATGTATTCATAACTATGTATGTACTTATACCTATTATCTTGTAAGCGATTGACCAATCAAATAAATAAATAAATACTTCTGCAGAAGACCTTCCCTGCCAGGAGCTCCTGCTGCAGCCGCCCCCAGGACAAACCCACCACACAGCACAAGCCCCGAAGAGGTTCCAGAAGGAGATGTTCACACCGCAGGACTTGGCCCCACGGTTGCGTCTTCCCGGGGGGGGGGGGGGGGGGCAGGCACTGGCGGATGGATTTCAAGCAAGCAGCAACTTGGCAGTGCCAGTCCCGGGGCAGAAATGGGACTTTGCCAAGGCCAAACATGGCTGTCCTGCTGAGCAACTTTGGCTGCCCATTCATCACCCTTCCACTGCTCCCTGGCGCTTTGGAAAGGAATTTGGGCAGTGCCCGGGTGGGGGAGGGGGGACAGATCTGCACTTCTGGGAGCCACTCATGCCCCAGGAGGACTCGGCTGCGGGGGAGGGGTCGAGGGGGTGCAGGGGAGAACAAGCCAAACTTGAGAAGCAGAAAGTCACCGCAGGCAGAGCTGAGGTCAGCAGGCTGTGCAGAGGCTACCAGGGGTTTTCAGCTCCTCAAGGCCAAAAGCAACCAGCCTTGGGGCGGGGGGGGGCTGCCATGGGGTGAGGGGGGGTGTGAGTGGGGCAGGCCAGAAGGAGAAGTCTCTTTCCTTCTTACTATCACCATGTTAGGTTTGTAAGTTATGAGCAAAGCTCCTGGCGGCTGACTTTGCAAGCAAGTCCCTGCAGGTCCATCAAAGATGCTGAGCCGGGTCCCTTTTGGGCCTCCCCTCCTTGGGGGTCCTGCACAGAAACCTTCTCCCCACCAGAATGGAGTGGCTCTCTATTCCCCCCCCCCAAAAAAAACCCTCCTTCTCTGCCCTCAGTCCACTTCCCCCTGGCTGTACCAGTTCCCCCCTCCTGCCTCCTCCTGCCCTGGACACACCCTGCGCTGGGTGGGCAGGGCCCACTTTCAGGGGGTTTGCTCTGGGAGAATGCCAGGAAGTTTCTGCAGGTGCCAGGATCAGGACCTTGGAGGAATGGCAGTCATGAAGGGGAGGGAAGTGGCAGGGCAGCCAGCAGGTACCAAACAGCCAGGGATGGCACAGTGGTGAGATTCAAAAAAAAAAAATTTCTACCAGTTCTGTGGGCGTGGCTTGGTGGGCATGGCAGGGGGAGGATACTGCAAAATGCCCCTTCCCTCCCCACCCCACTAACCTGCTTTCCAGCTCCGTTCTCCTGTGCAGGAGAACCAAAGGAGACCCAGCCGATCAGCTGGGACTCCATGGGAGGCAGAGAAGAGATGGGGTTGGCGAGGACAGTCAGAGGTGGGATTGGCCGGTTCTCCCAACTACTCGAAATTTCCGCTACCGGTTCTTCAGAACTGGCCAGAACCGGCTGGATACCACCTCTGGACCACCGGATCCTGCAACCTTCAGGGCCAGCTGGGAGGGGCAGGCATAGAAAAGGGCTGAGGACAGCCCCCACCCCCTGTGAGCCAAGAGAGGGGAGACCTTCCTTCTCAAGGACAACCGTCCCCCTATTTCAGGAGCAGTCAATGCCTCCCCCTCCCCCTCCCCTTATCCCGTTCTCTTTTCTCTTGGGTGTTTGCTTTCTTGTGGGAGGGGGGGAACTTTGGAGAAAGAGATGCTGTGAGTTACTGTCAGTCAACCAAGTGAGGAGAGGCGCCTCAGCTCAAGCCCCGCTGCTACTTGGAGAGCGAGCCCCCTAACACAGGAGTCGCCAGCCTTTTGGACCGCAGGGACCACCAAACTCATCATTTTAAATCCCGCAGATCAGAGACCCTGAGAAAATCCCCCCAAAAGTCTGCAGGAAAATTCCCCACCCTGTTTTCCTATCAATCATACCGTCTCCAGCTCCGTTCTCAGGGGGAGAGAGAGAGAGAGACTTTTGGCTTCATGCAAGGAAAGCAGCAGAAGCCTTTCTTTCTCTCCCGCCCAAACTCCACCAAAAATGAGTCTTTGTGAGACTTGTCGTGCTGGCGCAGCCTCTTGGAGCAGGAGGCCTTGCAGGGTCCCAAAGATTTCTGGTGGAGTTTGGGGGAGAGAAAGAAAGACTTTTGCTGCTTTCCTTGAGTGCAGCCAAAAGCAGCAGAAGAAAGAAGCGGAAAGGAGCAGCTCGGTGGCCAGGCGAGGCGCGTGGGGAGAGTGGGGCAAGTCCCCCCCTCCACCCTTTCCCCCCTCCTCTCACTACCTGGTGTTGTTCCCAATGCAATTCTCATGGACCATGTGGGCGGTGCAGCCTTGTGTTCCTGGGCAGCCTGGATTAATTGCTTTGGGGGGGTGCGCACATTTCTCTGCAGACCACCACAATTTTCTCACGGACCACCAGTGGTCCCCAGCCAACTGCTTGGTGACCACTGCCCACCCACCCCTGTGCCCATGGCTGGTGTCAGGACCGGGCAGATTGGCTGCCAGCCTCTGCAGATTAGAGGGGCTGAGCCGGAGGGCTCCTGCCCAAGGAGAGAGTGGGGGGGGGAGCTGGGGGGGGTGGAAGCTGTTTTGACCTGGGCGAGCCTGCCAGGAAGGGCCAGGCAGGAGCGACCTCCCACCACATCCCACCACGGACACGGCGAGGGAGGGGGCAGGGAGCTCAGCCCCCCTCACCTGGAGTGCGGTGGGAGGGGGGCGAAACCTAGGCCCCTCGGGAAGCTGCTGCTGCTGCAGGAGCTCCGCGAAAGGAAGGCGGCAGGGAAGCAGCCGGGCCCGCACCTTGCGCTCTTCCCACGCCTTCCTAGCGGAGAACTCCGCCGGTCCATCCTCCGGGGCCACGAAGTGGGCCGAGCGCTCATGTTTCTCGTCGGCTCTGAGCCGGGCGACGGGCGTCTCCTGCCGGCTGAAGGACGTGGCCCTGCTCGGGGGCCCTGCCGCTTCTCCTCCGAGGGCTGGAGCCGCCTCGGTGGGGCCGGCCTGGGCAGGAGAGTTCGTGTGGAGGGGCGGGGGGGGGGTCTTGCTGCTCCGGACCCACTGCAGGCAGGGCTGGACTCCCACGGGGGGGGGGGGGGGGGGGCCGTGCCCCAGGCTCCAACAGCGGGCGGGGAAGCGTCCAGGGGGGGGGGGGGGGGACAGTTCTCTTTCTGGTCGCCTCTGCCCATCTCGCCTCCCCCCCACGCCCGTCGCTGTCTAAGGCGCCGGACTGTCGGTTCTCAGACAAGGCTGACCGGATACCAACCGCCCTCCCTCCCTCCACGGGAGTTTTCCTGGAGCTGCCCGGCTTCCATCGCAGGGCGCCGGGCAGGTCCGGCCGTGGGCACGAAGGCTTCCCCACCGATCGGACCTGACCAGAGGAAGCCCTTTTGCGAGTCACCTGGCCGGAAGGAGCAGCTGCCAGCCTCTGCTCTGCACCCGGGAGAGAGTCCTTGAAGACCTCCGTCCAGCCCCCACAGGCCAGGCAAGGGGAGATGCCCCAGAGGGCAGGCAGGGAGGCCGGGCCTTCCCCCAGAGAAAGGGGCCTCTGCAGGGATGATGTGGCCAGTCCCCCAATGAAAGGGTTCCCCACAGAGCCCACCCTCTAGTTCAGAGGTCCCCAAACTTGGCCACTTTAAGGCTTGTGGACTTCAACTCCCAGAATTCTCCAGCATAGCATAGCATAGCATAGCATAGCATAGCATAGCATAGCATAGCATAGCTGCAGCAGATCCTGTTTCCAAATCAGGACATAAGACCACGAAAGTTTGGAGAATACAGGTTTTTATTTGTGCACAAGGTTCAGAGCATTAGAATGGCAAATTCTGAACCCCTGGCTCTTCCTGAGGCGTCACTTTTATACATTTTGTGACCTCAGCTTAGCCCGGGGTGTTTCTTCCCATTAAACTATACCAAAAAGGGAGAAGTACATTTAATTATTCATTTTATCTTACACCATCTGTTATTTTCCATATCCACCCTTAGCTTACTGGAACATGGCTAGTACCTTGGTTCAGTAACTTTGTGGTTTTGCACAATATTGTATTAAGCAAAGCTTTGGAGAATTGGGGGACTTCTGTTAAATATAAAAGTGCTTTATGTGTAATTTTTCTACTGCTACAGCCTAGCCTAGCCTAGCTGGCTGGAGAATTCCGGGAGTTGAAGTCCACAAGCCTTAAAGTTACCAAGTTTGGGGACCCCTGCTTGAGGGCCACAACATGGCTGTCATGCTGGCTGAGGAATTCTGGGAGTTGAAGTCCACAAGCCTTAAAGTTACCAAGTTTGGGGATCTCTGCTTCAGGGCCACAACATGGCTGTCATGCTGGCTGAGGAATTCTGGGAGTTGAAGTCCAACGAGTCTTAAAGTTACCAAGTTTGGGGACCCCTGCAGACAAGCTGCATGGAGGCTGGGAGGGAGAGCCAACTCTCCTGGGCCAACTCTGACCCCCTCCCCAATTCTCAAGCTGGGGGGGATATCATCCAAGGCGGCTGTTCCCTGATATAGATCCCCCCTCCCCATTTTAGTGACTTTTTTTTTTTTAATATAAAAGGGGAGATTTTTCAGAAATAAGGGAAAAAGAAAGCCAAGAGTCCAGGACCCTGGGGGGGGGAAGTGGGAGTGGGGGGGAAAGTCTTGGTCATCCAGACCAGGGAGCTGCCGCTTGCTTGTCTCTCTGGGAGACAAGAGCCCCACCCACCCAAACAAGGAGAGCAAAAACAAAGGAAAAAGGACCCCAGGAGCAGAGGAGGATGGAACAGAAGAGGGGAAAAAAAAGAACAAAGGAAGGAGAGAAGCAGAGGAGGCCGGTCTCAAAACAGCTAAGGAAATAATCCTCCTTTCCATATATTCAGAACCAGAGAACTGGGATTCCAAAGATGGATGTTTGGCAGAAGCCGAGGAACTGACCGGAGAGGAAAATTTTGCTGCTGGAAACTGTGGAAGTCACAATAAATAGTAACAGTGAAAAGTAATTGTGGCGACTCTGGTTGCAAAAGAGCCTCTGTTTGTGTGTGTGTGTGTGTGTGTTTGCGTGTGTGCATGTGTGTGTGAGAGAGAAGGTGGGAAGAGAGATTTCTGCCTCTGGCCAGGGGGTTCCATGGGTGCATTTTTCTATGGGTGCAGGTGCTGGGGGAGTGGGGGGGGGGCTGCTGCCTTTTTAACCAGAGGACCTGGGTGGGGGAGGAGGGCAGTGAAGGGGAGTTGAGAACAAATGAAGAGTTCAAATGTGAAACGATTAAAAATAAAATAAACTACATCGAAGGGAGGCGAGATAAGGCGCCTGAGCTCTTTCTCCCTATTTAACATTCATTGGATTGAATAATCAGGCCTCATTATCTCAAATTGGTTGCATATTTGCCCTCAAAATGCTAATTTGAAAGTTGGCTGCGAGCACCGTTCTGCCTATTTTGACTAAAATATTATTTTGTTTTATAGTGCACTGCCGGTAGCTCCAGGGGCTTTTCCAGTTTAAAACAAAAATAATAATAATAATAATAATAAAAAAAAATTTCTATCAAAGTCTGGCCCGGAAGAATGCAACTGGCGGCCGAGCCTGCTTTGCGTAGAAATGCCATTTCCAGGCCTTGAAGTAAAATTAAGGCCCTTATCAGCTTCTTTTAGGGAATGAACAATTTATCGTTAATCTCACGGAAGGAAATGGAAGGAATATTTTTATTCTTATTATTTCACCAGGGGGCGAGGCCGGGCTGCCCCTCCTGCTGAGCAGGGAAGCTTCTGACCTCTGCGGAGCGGGGAGGGGTGTCCTTCATTCTGAAAGGCCCCCTTTCCCGGGCCCATAAAAGGGTGGGGGCAAAGCAGCAGAGGGCCCTGGGCGGTTAGACCAAGGGACAGCAAAGAACAGCTGGGTGAAACCCACCTACCACATCGCAGAGGACGGAAGCCCCCTCCTCGCCAGAGTATTGGGGCTGGGGGTGCCCAGACTAAGGGAACGCAGGCTCCCTTGTCCTCCCCGCCCCCCCAAAAAACAGAGGACCCTTCGCAGTGCCTTGATGAGTTATTTGGCTGGGGCGCAGGACTGCTCTGAGGCTGTCTGGACCAGGGAGACCCCCACCTCCCCTGATCTGTCCCTCTTTCAGCTCAGAGGTCCCTCCTGCCCTGGCTAAGAACAGCAGCCCAGCAAGATGGCGGGGGGCACAGAGAGGAAGGGTCCAGGGCAGTGGTGGGATTCAATTTTTTTTTACTACCGGTTCTGTGGGCGTGGCTTGATGGGCGTGGCTTGGTGGGCGTGGCAGGGGAAGGATATACTGCAAAATCCCCCTTCCCTCCCGACCCCACTAACCTGCTTTCCAGCTCCGTTCTCCTGTGCAGGGCAACCAAAGGAGACCCAGCCGATCAGCTGGGACTCGGGAGGCAGAGAAGAGATGGGGTTGGCGGGGCCAGTCAGAGGTGGGATTGTTCTCCCAACTACTCCCAACTACTCAAAATTTCCACTTAATGGTTCTCCAGAACCGTTCAGAACTGACTGAATACCACCTCTGCAGGAGGGGCTGCAGAGGCAGCTGGTTCAGGGCCTCCCAGCTTGCTTGCTT